AGGTCCCATGGTTTCCCTTATTTGCAATAACTAGTATATATCTGAGACAAGCAGAAAAGGTCAGATAAGATGATGTTAAGCAAAATGAACTCCAAGATAAGGACACAAGTGGTTTTTTTCTTTCTTGCTGTTGTTTCTAACATATTTATAAGGTACCATGTGATTTTTTTTTTTTGTTTTTATGTCCCTCCTCCCCCACGGTATAACCCTTGTTTTCACTATGTTTGATGTTGGTATAATTTGGGGAGCAGAAGGGGAAAACAAATTGTTTAAATAGGGATGCAGGTTGACCCATTGCAACAAAAGAGACAAGATGAGATGTACCAGACGCTATGTCAAGAAACTTTGGGGGGGGGGGGGAAATGTGTGAAGATGGGAGGGGAAAAACAAAAGAGGCAATAATGCTTTATAAGAAATGTACTCATTACCTTACTCCTGTGAATGTAACCCCTCTGTACAGTATTTTCACAATAAAAAAAACTTATTTTAAAAAAATTATGACAAATCGTATGTTCCAGCAAAAAAAAAAAAAATACAAACAGTAATTTCTAATAACTGAAATGTACTGAAAGCCAGGATCCAAGATCATGGGGCTGTCTGGCAAGGGCTTTTTCTACCATTCTCACATGACAGAAAGAAAAGAAGATGCTCCCTTTAACCTTAAACTGTTTCATGAAAGTGTCCATCCTATTCAAGAGGCCCCTATCCTCATGACACAATCCTCTCCTGAAAGCTACAGCTCTCAATAATGTTGCACTGGAGATTAAGTTTCAACACAAACTTCAAAGCACACACTAGGATTCAAGTATAAGGGTACCTGATGGGAGACTTTAGGAACCTAGCAGGACCACACCCTGAACAGACAAAATGTCACTGCTACATATTTCTACCCATAAACTGCAGAAGACTGAATTAACTACAGTCCTAACATTTCCAGCTTAAACTGGTCTTATAAAGTTCTCTGCTTAAAGTATATTCTTTTTTTTTTTTGTCAGTCATAGGGCTTGAACTCTGGGCCTGGGGGCTGTCCCTCAGCTCTTCAGCTCAAGGTGAGTATTCTACTACTTGAGCCACAGTGCCATTTGCGGTTTTCTAGTTGTTAATTGGAGGTAAGAATCTCACGAACTTTGCTACCTGGGCTGACTTTGAATCATGATCCTCACATCTCAGCCTCTTGAGTAGCTAGGATTACAGGCATGATACCTACCAGCACTTGGCTAAAGTATGTTCTTTAAGCTTATGATGAACTAAATCACCTAAGCCTGGAATGTCAGATGCTGAATTTTTAAGAACCTCAAACCTAATCCCCAATACTGACATTTTAAAAAGATGGTTAAATTCCTAATAATGGTCTATCTTTAATAACTTGAATTATATACCGATTATATCTTGACAAAGCTTCAATAAACACCTACTTTAACTTCAGAAAGGAACAAATCTTTGCTTTCAGGATATAACTTATGAGTTCTACTCACTTGTTACTATATTGACAGAAGTATCTACATTCATAGGTTTGCTAAGTTCTGACAAAAATTTTTTAAAAAACACACTTTAGTTTATGTTAATTTAGAATGACCATGTTCCAAAAGTAATGTTATAAATTTAATCTACTTTAATAATTTATTAAATGTTAATGCATTACTAAAAGTGTGATATATCTCAGTTTTTATTTTATGTCTGACATTGCAAGAAGAACAAGAGCATGAAGAAAAAGTAATTTTACCAATGTATTGTTGTGTAACAAATCAGTTGAAAATTCAGTTGTTAAATGCATTCACTACTCTTAACTTGCATCTATATGGAGTATGCACAATCTGGCCTAGTACATTTAAATTAAGCACTGTTAACCTTGCTATGCTTTTCATGTAGTTCTTCTAAAAAGAGGAAATAACAGAAAAGTACCTCTTATCTTGCTTCTTAGGTATTTCAGGACTTCTTGAGTTCCTTTCTGAAAGGAGAAAGACAAAAATCACATTTGCTAAAGCATATCTTAAAGTTTATAAATCAAAATATGTGAATTAAAAAAAATAAAGAGTTGAATTCTAAAAATACTTACATTTAGAATTTCTCTACGAATAGTTCTCAAAGGATTTCCTTCTAGTGCCAAAAATTTCAAATGAAGGTTTCCCAATGAATAGGGCAAGCTACAAATAATTAATTTCAGGGATAATATTTAATATAAGGACAATCTACTAGTGTTGACTATAAAAATAACATATGACAATATATAAATCTCAAAGAAAATACAAATAACATAGATCAAAAATATTTCCCTGGGGCTGGGAAGGTGGCTCAGTGGTAGAGCGCCTGCTAAGCATGCCTGAGGCTCTGGGTTCGATTCCTCAGCACCACATAAAGAAAAAAAAAAGAATATTGGAAAAATATTTCCCTGAAGATATATGCTAAATACACAAAAGAGAACCAAATATATATTTAATGTTATCAAGTTGAAACTGCTAGAAATGAAGATAAGCTAACAGAACACTTGCTGAACTGTATCTAATACTAAAAAGGCAAATATTAAACATGTAAATATTAGAGAATAGACATGGCCGTAGTTGTCTAGCAGCAGCTAACCAGCCTGCACAAAGTCTAAGTTTAAGTGCCAGTATCACAATGAATAAATAATCAATAAATATTAATAAACTGCTATGTGAAAAAGGACAGACACAAAAATTATATGCTGTGTAATGCTATTTATATGTTATTCTGTAAAAAGGTAAAAGTATAATACAGGGCATATTAGTTGTTAGGTATTAGGAGTGTGGAAAGGTAATTAACTGCAAAAGGCCCAAGAAATTTATGATCAAGTTGTACCATATGCCATAATGTACACTGTGGAAGTAAATGTGCAGTTTTAGAATATTTATTAAAATACACATATAAAAGAAAATCTGTACCAAGCCCTGGTAGCTCATGCCTATAATCCTAGCTCCTCAGTCTAAAATCTGAGGATCAAGGTTCAAAGCCAGCTCAAGAAGGACATCCCATAAGACTCATCTCCAAAAAAGCCAGAAGTGGAGCTATGCTATGGCTCAAGAGGTAGAATGTTAGCCTTGAGCAGAAAGAAACCTCAGGGGTAAGCTGGGCACTGGTGGCTCATGCCTGTAATCCTAGCTACTCAGTAGGCTAAGATCTGAGGATCACAGTTGGAATCATCCTGGGCAGGAAGTCCATTAAACTCTTGACTCCAATAAGCTACTCAGAAAAAGCTGGAAGTGGTATGTGGCTCAAGCGGTAGAAAGCTAGTCTTGAGCAAAAGAGGCTCAGGGACAGCTCCCTGGCCCTGAGTTCAAGCCAAGTACGAACCAAGCCCCCCACCCCCCACAAAACAAAACCAAAACTCAGGGATAGCACTTAGGCTCTGAGTTCAAGCCCCAGGACCAGCACACACACACACGAAAGTAATTTGTTCAGTCTATCAATAGTGCTAACTAACAAAAAATTATTCTTCAAGAGCTTCTTCCACATGGAATTCAGATTTTAAAGCCCTAAATTCTTATAACCTCCCTATTTCTATTTGCACCATATTTTTAGAATTCCCAAGCTCTGTGCTATTTCTTCCTGCCATGTGTATCACTCACTACCTCCTCATACATGAATCTGAAAATTACAATTATTGTTTAAATGAATGGCCGCAAAGCAGGGCTATGGTAGGATGTGATCCCAAAAGTAAATGTGGTCTTAAATTTTACACTGTAGACAATTAACTTGCTTCACCCTAATCCCAGTCCTAAAGCCTTCAATAATTCCTACTAAATAATAAATCCCTTAAGATCCTAAAGCATTATGTATTTCCATACAATTTTATATTAATTTAACAAATTCAACAAATAGTTATCAAGCACCTTTTATGTATGAGACATTGCACTGGGAGTTAGATATAGAGCAATGAACAAGAGAGATGATAATATTCAGGCTTATTACAGAGCTTAGTTATAGTAAATTACAGCAATGTGGAGATCCATCTGCTTTTATTAATATACCAAATTGGCTAAGGACAAAATATAATCTTAACTGATTCCATTTTTAAAAAGCACCTCCGTTTTTAATTTTTTAAGCAAAAAACTATAACCATAGAACAGGCAAAGTATCTATTCAATTGTTCTTTAAGCTTACCTGCTAATATCATTGTTGCTTAGGTCAAGCCTTTCCAAAGACTGTAGTAGTTTAATTTCATCTGGAACAGATTTTAACTTGTTATCCCTCAGGTCTAGCACAAGGATAGAATTCAGATGCTTAAGATGATCTGCCCCTAATACTTCAATATGGTTTTCACCTACATGCAATTCCTACAAAACCAAACATCAGTTATGTGTATTTGGGATACTCTTTCATTTTAAATAATTGAAACACACAGGAAAATAATAACCTTTTAAATACTATATTGTTTAGATTTTCTATTTCAATTAAGGTATTTTCAAGCTAACAAAACAACAAAATGTCATTTTTTCAATAATTTTCTGATAACTTCCAAATAATTAGAATTGAATCTGGCAGAAATATGAAGTTTCAAAACTAAAGCAGATACGATTTATTTTATTTGTAGGATTAATGGAAGTATGTAAAAATTACTAATGAAAAATTATTCCCATAATCAATCAGTTCAAAAATATTTACATTTATATATTACATTTGCTAAAAATGAAAACTTTCCCAATGTTTATTTTTAATCACTGTCACCATTCTATTAAAATTTTGGGTAGAAAAGGGTAAAGGATGGTGATAGAGAAAGTCTGATCAAGATACACTGTTTGTATATATAGACATATGGAAATAAAATTCCCTATTCAATTAACACTAATAAAAAATATTTTTAAAAAAAGAAAAATTCCTTAACACTGGTGCATAAAAGTCTACAAAAAAGCAAACTGTGGCAAGTTTAAAAGACAATATTAATGTTATTTTTAAAGCCAAAAGAAAGTAATAAACCTTAAATACATCTGAGTATGATTAGGTAAATTCTGAGAGGTGCCAATTTAAAGAATTAAGCCCATATTCCTTACCAGTATTTCAGAGCTCCTGCCATATAGCCCAACTTACCATTTTAGCCTTATTATAATACTTCTCAGCTATAAACTGTTCACCAGACAAAATAAATTTTAATTTGTAAAATTAATATTTTCTGTTAAAAATATATTACTATCAAAGCTTAGGGCCACTGGTGCACACCAATAATCCTGTTACTCGAAAGGCCAAGAGCTGCAGATCAAAGTTCAAAGCAAGCCCCAGTAACAAAGTCTTTGAGAATCTTATCCTCCAATTAACTACCAAAAAACTGGAAGTGGAGCTGTGGAGTAGAATGCCAGCTTTGAGAGAAAAATTTAGGGGACAGTGCCCAGACCAAGTTCAAGCCCCAGTACCAACATACACATATACAAATACTACTAACAAAATAGCACAAATGTCAGTAGTCACATTAAATTTGTGAAAAATATTAACAGGAAAAGAATAGTTCATATAACTAACACACATGACTACTAGAAAACAAGATAGCTCCTTTTCAAGAAATACATTCTCATAAATAAGATTTGAAAAACATACTCATTTAATAATCAACTAAATGGTACCTTTAATAGTCTACAAGATGGAAATTCAGGTAGAAAACGTAACTTATTCTTGCGCAAATAAAGCAGTTCTAGTGACTCCATCCCAGCCAATTCAGGAGGAATAGTTTCCAGGAGGTTACAATTACAATCCAAATGCTTTAATCCTGCAATACATATTTATTAAAAATCCAATATATTTTCAAAGAGAAAAAAATATTCTGTGATTATATGGAACTTCAAAGAATCTATTAGAAATCCTCATCAGTTATAAACCTATACCACAGCATACAGCTGTAATAACTAAAAATAAATTACCACTGAATGAATATATGTAAATGAAATTTATTTTTACATATTTAGAGAAATAGTAGTATTAAAAATAAAGGCTGGAAAAATAAATAAATAAATAAAAATAAAGGCTGGCGCTTTAGCTCATTGGCAGAGCACTGACCTAGAGTGCTTAAGGTATTAATATCCCAGTATCTTTTGGTGCTAGTGTTTAGGTAAATAGTATAAAATAATTGTTTGGAGAAAATATATATTTATTGTTTGCATTTATCACCACAAAAACACTGTATTTCTCTGTAACTGTACTAAAAATTATTTGCCTAAAATCAAGTTACATTGAACTCAAACATAATTTTTAAATATAGAAGACTTACTTTTCATTCTACTTATTTCCGCTGGCAAACTCTTCAATTGGTTACTAGAAAGATTGAGTCGCATCAGACTGGACAGAGAAGAAAAACTAGCAGGAATGGTTGTAAGACAATTGTTCGAAAGATCCTTTGAAAAGCAAAGACTGAATGAACAAATGAGTTCATGGAAAAATAAATAAATTTCCCTAAAAAGGATTTCAGAATTTTGATAAAATTGCATTAAAATACTTCCAAAAATTTATATAATACTCTTCCTTCACTGAATATCTCTCAGATAATCATTAATTTAGATACTCCTCAACATCTATAGTCACACAATGTATTCATCAACGTAGTAAGCAGGAATTAAAACAAATTCTTACTTCTAAAATACCATACAAGATTTTCATTAAAACTAATTTATGCTACATGGCACATGTCATCATTAGGATACATAAATTCATTCATTTATTGAGTACTTATGATGAATTAAGTAACTATTGAAAATTCATAACATGAAGTGAAAAGTATCTTTACAATAAGAATTTCTGAAAGAAACAAAGATAAAACTACAAACATAAACAGCCACTTTAATTTGGGAGAAAAATATTTTTCTTAGCTCTGCTGCATTCAACACATACTCTTTGACAAAAACCAGATGTCTATTCTGTATGTTTACTAATTCAAGCTTGTTAACTAATCTCCATATCTCATTTTTTCTTTAAATTTTTATTTTCTGCTTTAAAATACGTAATGAGAAGCTGGGCACTGGTGGCTAACACCTGTAATCCTAGCTAGTCAGAAGGCTGAGATCTGAGGATCATGGTACAAAGACAGGCTGAGCTCAAGCCCCAAGGCCATAAATGAAAGAGAGAGAGAGAGAGAGAGAGAAAGAGAGGGAGGGAGGGAGGGAGAGGGAGAGAGAGGGGGGAGAGAGAGGGGGAGGGATGAGAGAGGAGGGGAGGGAGGAGGGAGAGAGAGAGAGAGAGAGGGAGAGAGAGAGGGAGAGAGAGAGGGAGAGAGAGAGAAAAAAAAACTTTACCTCTAAAACAACCTTTAAAAAAACAATATTGCCAGTCACTGTGGCTCATGCCTGCTACTGAGGTAGCTGAAATCTGAGGATCACAGTTCAAAGCCAGCCTGGGCAGGAAAGCCTGTGAGACTCTTATCCTCAATTAACTACCAAAAACAAAATCTAGAAGTAGAAGTGTGGCTCATGTGATAGAGCACCAGCCTTGGGCAAAAATGCTCAGGGACAGCACCCAAACTCCTCAATTCAAGCCTCAGGATGGACACCAAAAACATTTTTATTTTTAATTTTGAAAAAGATACTGTTATGCATGAGAAGTCAAGAGCTGTGGTAGGCACTATAAGGTTCCATTTATGGCTAATTTATCTCTCACTACAGAACTATTAACTTACTGTAGTCCACATGGATTTTCTCTGTAATAGCTCCCATCCTTTAACTTTTGTCTCTTTAGAATATTAAAAATCCATTTTGTGTATCAGTAGTTTTACTTGTAGTCTTTACATCATGTACTACAAATTTCAACAAATGTCTTTAAAATCAGGCATATATTTAAAAGAAAGAATATGCCTTCAAAAAAAGACAATGTTATGAATCGAGGATTACACTATCTAACACTCAGTATCAATAAAGTGCCAATGTCATAGAGACAACGTCAACAATGAATTCGAGTAAATGACATTCAGGATGTTTTCAGCAGACTTATTCAGTCTAATGTCAAGCAACTATATTCTACAGCTGAATACAGCAATTAGATCTAAAACAGTAAAACTACTAGATCACCTTTAAAAAAAAAAACAAAACGTTAAAAGTGTTGTGTGGCTCATGCCTGTAATCCTAGCTACTCAGGAGGCTCAGATCTGAGGATCGAGGCTCAAAGCCAGCCCAGTCAGGAAAGACTGATACTCTTTATCTCCAATAAATCACTAGAAAACTGGAAGTGGCACTGTGACTCAAGTGGTAATGCATTTGCCTTGAGCGGAAGAGCTGAGGGACAACACCCAGGCCCAGAGTTCAAGCCCCACGACTGACAAGCTACTTGAAAGACAGAGATTTGGGGATCACAGTTCAAAATCAGATTAGAAATAAAAACTGATGGCAGTCAATCCCAATCAATGACTGGGCACAGTAGTGTGTACCAGTCATCCCAAACTTTTAGGAGAAGCACACTGGCTAAGCACAGTGTTGTGCACCTATCATCCAGCAACAAAGGAAAGCACAAATAGGAGGATTAAATTCAGGCTAGCTGGGACATAATGTGAGACCTGTTCAAATGGGCTGGAGGCGTGACTCAAGTGGTTGGAGGACCTGCCTAACAAGCTCAAGGCCCTAAATTCAAACTCCACTACCACAAATAATAAATACAAAACTAAAAAATATAAGGGCTTTTTCACATGCTATGATCATAATTAACATCCAAGTTAGTATAATCAACAATAACAAATGGACAAGCAATTAAGAATCTGGAAATTGCTATTAAATATTTCAAAAGCTATGGATTTCAGTCATTTTCTCTGTGCTTCTTGGCTATCAAGATGGGAACTGCTCTGTTCTGCCAAGGGCTTCTCATAATTATGGACTGAAACCTCTGAAACTGAAAATTTCCTGGCTCCAGAATTCTTTATCTACTGAAACAGAAACAAAAAAGTCTTGGCCATTTATCACTTCTTAAAACTGCTTATGAAGCCGGGCACCCATGACTGACAAAAAAAAAGAATTACTTATGAAGACAGTAGGTGTCGTACAAACAGCATAAATTGAAGGTACTATGGGAAGCTATGGTTTCCTAAGAGGTGTTCTCCGTGACTTCTATTCAGCCTATCCTCTACAATATGTCAGAGGACAAATTAGGAAAAGTTTCATTTTTCCTACAGGGACCTAAAATTTTTGAAGAGGACTAGCAGACTACTTATTGGAAAAAATATTTTTTATACAATAGAGAGTTAAAAACACTTTTGTAGATTCACAAATCATTGGTTTCCTATGTATTAGACCCACCAGACATAAATCATATAAAAACTGGAAAATCATAACTTACTAAATCTTCTAAATTGGAAAGTTGCTCAAATCCCTCTGGTATGTAAGTTAATGCATTATGCTGGAGATACAGGGTCTTCAGGTTTCTTAGGTGTGTCACTTCTTCAGGGAGCACTTCCAGTTTGTTACGACTATTAGTTCACAAAAATAAATGCTGAATAACTTGGTAGACAAGACAACAAATATTTAACAACAGAACACTTTTACTTTGTCTATTTTTTGTGCCTGTTCTAGGGCTTGAAATAAGGACCTGGGCACTGACCCTGAGCTTTTTTGTTCAAGGCTAGTGCTGTACCACCAGTTGAGCCACAGTTCCATTTCTTGCTTTTTGGTGGTTAACTGGAAATAAGAGGCCCACTGACTTTCCTGCCCAGGCTGGCTTTGATCCTCAGATAGCTTCCTGAGTAGCCAGGATTACAAGAGTGAACCAACACCCGTCTAACAAAGGCATTTGTCCTTACCAATGACATGAACTCATTATAGAAACTAAGTGCTTATTAAAGCCGGGCACCGGTGGCTCATGCCTACAGGCATCCTAGCTACTCAGGAGGTTGAGATCTGAGGATCGCGGTTCAAAGCCAACCCGGGGCAGGAAAGTCCGTGAAACTCTTATCTCCAATAAACACTCAGAAAACAGGAAGTGGCCCTATAGCTCAAGTGGCAGAGCACTTGCCTTGAGCTGAAGAGCTGAGGGACAGAGCTCAGGCCCAGAGTTCAAGCCCCATGACCGGCAAAAAAAAAAGAAACTAAGTGCTTATTAAGAACTTATCAAAACTCACATCCACTCATAGATACAACAGTAAAGTAAGCAAAAGGTTTCAAAGAAAAACAACAAAAATGTTTTGAACTTCTAATTGCTAACTTACAGTCAAGTCTTGGTTTTACATGTAAATGAAAATAATTGACTTTTAGAATTTTGACAAAATGTATTTATGTACATGCTACAAGAGGGATTCATGTTATATAAAGGTTAGGCTTCAAGATTAGCAGTCAGAATAGAAATAGATGTTTTAGTTCGAGGGCCTGGCAGTTCATGTTGAAAGTATTATTCAATTACACTCTGTACTTGGTCTTTACTTCTTAGTTGAGCTTCTGTGTAGGACATTCAGCTTAATTAGAAGCACAAAATCAGGGGATAATACAGTCCATGATAATTAGGAGATAAATGAACAAATTATCAGGTTTATCTTTGGAGGTCTTACCTATGTCTTCGATTTGTATGAGGAAGAAAGCTTAAGGCAGTTCTAAACAATTACCTTTGTTTTTCCTATACTCATACTGAAGCTAGAATTCATGGTCTCACACTTTTGCTTAGCTTTTTCCATTTCAGGCTTGAATTCATGGTCTCACACTTTTGCTTAGCTTGAATTTATGGTCTCACACTTTTGCTTAGCTTTTTCCATTTCAGGTTGGCACCATTTAAGCTATATTTCCACTTTTTAATTGGTTAACTGGAGTTAAATGTTCTCAGATTTATCTTCTCAGGATGGCTTCAAACTGGGATCCTCAGCATCCTGAATAGTGGGGATTTTAAGCGTGTACCACAAGTGCCTAGCCAATTACCCCTTTTTTACAGGAAACATTTTTTCTGATTTGTGGTAATTTTATGGTTTTTTTTTACAAAATCAGGACTATTATTTTAGAAATTACTTGCCCTAAGACAAATGCATTTGCAACTAGAAAACAGACAACTATCTTATGTTTAAGAAATATGTACAGGCTGATTATAGAACTAACCAGCAAAAAAAGCCAAATGTAGAGCTGCGGCTCAAGTGAGTAAGAGTGCCAACCTTGAGCAAAAAAGCAGAGACAGTATCAAGGATCTGAGTGCAAGCCTCAATACCAGCACAAAATAATTTTTTAAAAAGTTATAAACAGGTCTGGAAGGTGGCTCAGTGGTACAGTGCTTGCTTTGCATGCATGAGACCCTGGGTTCAATTCTTCAGCACCACATAAGCAGAAAAAACTGGAAGTGGCACTATGGCTCAAGTGGTAGAGCACTAACCTTGAGCTGAAGGACAGCACTCAGGCCCAGAGTTCAGGCCCCATGACCAAAAAAAATAAATAAATAAAATAAATAAATAAGTTGTAAACATACTTATTTTATAAAAGTTTTCCAGATGACACATGTAAATGAAAGATCTTAGAAATAAAAGTATCTTATTTCTGGGCTGGGAAGGTGGCTCAGTGGTAGAGCGCTTGCCTTGCATGCATGAGGCCCTGGGTTCGAGTCCTCAGCACCACATAAGCAAAAAGAAAAAAGCCGGAAGTGGTGCTGTGGCTCAAGTGGTGGAGTGCTAGCCTTGACTGAAGAGCTAAGGGACAGCGCCCAGGCCCAGTGTTCAGGCCCCACGACCGGACCCCCCCCCCAAAAAAAAGTATCTTTCTTCTCCTAAATCAAATTTCCCCAAATTTCTTCTTTTCTAACCTAGATGCAGCAAATATTCCTAAATTCTGGATGTTTGGGGGAGCACTTAGTGCCTTAACTACTTAGTCTCCTAAGTACCTATCAATGGCAGTATAATAAATATGTTCATAGAATCCCAGAGGTTTTGGAAAAGTTAAAAACTGGTAATATTACAAGTCATAATGACAGGTACAGTTGAGAGGCATAGTGCCTGTCTAGAGTATATAAGGCTGAGTCTGATATCAAGCATCACAATGAAATAAATAATAAAATCCTTCAGCATCAATAAAAGAATTAGTATTTTTTTCTTATGCTTTAACAGCTAGATATTTCTTTTATCAAAGTAACTTAAAATGTGGCATATCAAGAAAGTAGTCTGCCAAAATAAGAACCACAGTCAATTTTCACATTACAAAGACAATTTTTTTAATCACTGGGCCTTAAATTCATAAAACAAACAAAACAAATTTAAAGCCAAACACAAACATAATCTGTTGTGCATTGTGGAAAATGCACTACATGTAGAGTTAGATATTTCGAAAGGTGAGGTAAAAATTAATATCACTGAACACCTTTCTACAACTACTTAACAGTAACAATAAAAAAAATGAAAAAAATGGGCTGGGAAGGTGGCTAGTGGAAGAATGCTTGCCTTGCATGCATGAGGCACTGGGTCCGATTCCTCAACACCACATAAGCAGAAAAAGCCAGAGATGGCTCTATGGCTCAAGTGGTAGAGTGCTAGCCTTGAGCTGAAGAGCTTAGGGCCAGCACTCAGGCCCAGAGTTCAGCCCTCACAACTGACAAAAAAGGAGAAAAAGAAAAAGAAAAACACATACCATTTGAGCCCAGCAATTTGGAGCCAGCCTGGACAACACAGTAAGACATTATATCTTTTCTTAAAAAAAAAAAAAAAAAAAGATGTAGAGGATGGCAGCAGTGGTAGCTCCCACCTATAATCATAGCTACTCAGGAAATATGAGATTGGTAGTAGCAAGCCAGGGCCACCCCACGCAAAAAACTGTACTGTTATCTGAAATGCTGCTAAAGCAAGAAGGGCTAGAATATGGCTCAGGTAGTGGCAAGTGAGAGGCCCTTAAGTTTCAAACACCAGTACTTAAAAAAAAAATTATTATTACTCACCTACTTTCTGAAATAATACAAAAATATTTCCATTCATTTTGAATTGCAGGTTAAAACAAGGAAGGGTCCAAGAGGTACTACCTATAAACAGCCCAACTTAATAACACTTTCTAATGTTAGGAAAAATATTTTAAGAATATTATGTTTATACTATTATAATTGCAATATTATAAAAAAAAATAAGCTAAACTTTACCTGACATTAAGCTTCTGAAGATTTTCTAGCTCTCTTATCGCAGAAGGAAGGGATGTCAGTTGATTGTCATGTATCTAAAATTGTTTTTAAAAAAAAGTTATATTTAGCAATATTTGAGCTTTGCTATTATACAAAATTGTGCACTTACAATCCCTTGTTCTTCTAACTCAATGGCAATGTTGAGGTAATTTGTTCTATGTGTAGTAAAGGAGAAATAGTTTGAAACTGACTCAATTGTTCATAAGATATAAGAACTTAGCAATTTAAAACATAATTAGAAAATATGTAAAAAGTAGTTTACTTTGTCGGATGCTGTTAGCTCACGCCTGCAATCCTAATAATCAGGAGACTGAGATCTGAGGATTGCAGTTCAAAGCCAGCCCAGGCAAGAAAGTCCATAAGACTCTTACTTCCAAATAACCATCAGAAAACTGGAAGTGAAGCTGTGGCTCAAAGTGATGGAGTGCTGTTAGCCTTAAGCAGAAAAATCTCAGGGACAGCAGCACCCAGCCCCATGACCACCACCAACAACAAAAGTAGTTTATCTCTTTGAATAGAGTTTCAATTTCTTGTAGGAGGTGAGAGAATCATAAACAATAGCCTTCTGATATTATTTATGTAAACATCTGTAAAAATTACAGAATTATTTTATTTTGGTTTTGTTTTGGGGTTTGGTGCTGGTCTTGGGGCTTGAACTCACGGCCTGAGTGCTGTAACTGAGCAATTTTGCTCAAGGGTAGTCCTCCACCACTTGAACCATAACTCTACTTCCAGTTGTTTGCTGGTTAGTTGGTGGTAAGAGCCTCAGACTTTCCTGCCGACTCTGGTTGTGAACCTCAATCCTCAGATCTCAGCCTTCTAAGTAGCTAAGATTACAGTCATGAGCCACCAGTGCCTGGCTAGAATCATACTGTTTTTAAGGTTACAAACAACAACAAAGGGGGAAGCCAGTACATTCATTTTACAAAGACAATAAAAACTTCTCTAGAAATTTCACTATTTCCACCTGACACACATAAACTAGAGAATTTTTGGTGTTGCTAAATGAAGCATAAAAATATTAGTGGAGCCAGGTGCCAGTGGCTCACACCTGTAATCCTAGCTACTCAAGAGGCTGAGATCTGAGGACCACGGTTCAAAGCCAGCCAGGGCAGGAAAGTCTGTGAGACTCCTATCTCCAATAAACCACTAGAAAACCGGAAGTGGCACTGTGGCCCAAGTGGGAGAGCTCTCACCTTGAGCTGAAGAGCAAAGGGCCAGCACCCAAGCCCAGAGTTCAAGCCCCAGGACCCCCCCCCACACACACACACATACCACACACACACACACACACACACACACACACAAATACTAGTGGATTCTTAATCAATGACTTATACCTCACATTACTACATGATATGGCATCTATACCCTAAAAATGGATCCCCTTAATAAGAACACAAAGATTTAAAGTTTACTTAAAGGCAAGTTGTAAAATCAATAAATAAGCAAATAAATAGATAATAAAAAACTATCTTAAGTAACTAATATAACTGCTTTGATATTAACAATAGACTGTAACAATAAAAACTGTAACAATACAGGTGCTAGTAATGTCTTGAACCTGTAAACTTAGCTACTCAGGAGGCTTAGATCTGAGATTGTGGCTCAAAGCCAGCCTGGGCAGAAAACTCCTTGAGACTATTATCTCTATCTTAATCAGCAAAAAACTAAAACTGTAACTGCAGCTCAAATGATAGACTGCCAGCCTTGAGTGAAAAAGCTAAGGGGTAGTGCTCAGGCCCTGAGTTCAAGCCCCAGTACTGGTATGAAAAAAAAGTAAATAAATAAATAAGCAACCACTTGTTACCTTTTGGACTGATGCAGATATTATTCACCATCACCAAAAATTCCTCATAATTCAGTGTTTTTGTGTTTTTTGTTGTTTTGTTTGTTTGTTTTTAGTCATGGGGCCTGAACTCTGGGCCTGGGCGCTGTCCCTCAGTTCTTCAGCTCAAAGGCTAGCACCCTACCACTTGAGCCACAGCACCACTTCCGGCCTTCTCTGTTAAGTGGTGCTAAGGAATAGAACCCAGGGCCTCATGCATGTGAGGCAAGCACTCTACTACTGAGCCACCTTCCCAGCCCTTGAAAATTATTTTTTGAATTTAGTTACGGGATACAAACATAATCCTTGCTTATTATTTTTATTTTTTATGCTGGTCCTGAGTCTTGAATTTAGGGCCTGGAAGCTGAGCCTGAGTTTTTTTGTCCAAAGCTAGCCCTTAGCCACTTGAGCCAGAGATCCACTTTTAACTTTTTGGTGGTTAATTGGAGAGAAGTCTCATGCACTTTCCTGCCCAGGAAATCACAATCGATCACAATCACAATCCTCTGATCTCCAGCTACTCATGCTCAGCCAGAATCCTTGTTAACAAGTGGTAACAAGTGGTTGCTTATTTATTTACTTTTTTATCATACCAGTACTGGGGCTTGAACTCAGGGCCTGAGCACTACCCCTTAGCTTTTTCACTCAAGGCTGGCAGTCTATCATTTGAGCTGCAGTTACAGTTTTAGTTTTTTGCTGATTAAGATAGAGATAATAGTCTCAAGGAGTTTTCTGCCCAGGCTGGCTTTGAGCCACAATCTCAGATCTAAGCCTCCTGAGTAGCTAGGTTTACAGGTTCAAGACATTACTAGCACCTGGATTGTTACAGGTCTAGAGTTCAGGCCCCACAACAGACCAAAAAAAAAAAACCTTTCAAAAGTAGGCAATGGTATCAATTCTTGTTGATAAGGAAATAGAACCAAGGCACAAAGACGTAACTTTCCCAAAGTCACATAGCTATTAACTATTATTCTGTTCCTTATATAATACTTTGTTATTTGACCTTGCATTCTACCAGCTCAGTATGAAAGGGTTTTTTGTTTTGGGGTTTTTGTTTCTTGCTTACCAATGTCTAAGTTTAGCTTCTTCAATTAAGAACCCATAATTATAAACAACTTACATCAAGAACAATCAGTGCAGGCAAAAGCCGGAGGTCATCTGTAAGTGACTGGAGTTTATTGTTTGATATTATTAATTTGGTCAAATCCGTCTGCTCCCACCATCTTTCAGTAGCACCAAATGAGAGGTTCTGATTAGCTTCTGCAGGGATATCCACATTTATTCTCCAAACACACTGAGGCACTATTTCCAACATCACCATAAAAAGAAAACAGATAAAAAACTTCTAATCCAGTTACTCAAACAGCAATAAGTTGCAACTGTGAATGGATGCTTATTTTTAAAGCAAAGCAAAACAACAATTTTTTAAAAAAACTACTCTTTCTAATTTTCTTGAAAACTAACGTTTTCAAGAAACATACTATTATTTTGATATGTAGTTATGGACAGTTGAATGGGAAAAGAAATACAAATCAGCCAGCAAAAAGCATGTGAGCTTATTGATACCATCATGTGGCTAAAGTGACTCAAGTGTGTTTTTAATTGTATGTAATAATGATTAATTAAAAATTTAAATAGTCACTGTGGCTTTCATACAGCATGACTCTTAACAGTAAAAAATAAATTATATTTTTTATATTTTCTTTTCCAACTGACAACAGATAAATTATAGAATGAGGATATAACAAATGGGCTGTAGTCATTTTGTTCACTCTCTTTGGAGGAAAAAAGAGTCAATTTGGTGCAGGACAAAAAGGAAACAGCTGCCAGAAAATCAGAAACAAATATGGTGTTAAGAAATAGCTTTAGTAAAAGCACAGAAGTACTGTTTTTGTCATCTTACAATCATAAAGTTGCAACATTTATTAAAATAAAAAATTAAAATAAAAAAATTAAAATTATAATTAAAAAAATAAAATAAAAAACCAACTTACCTTGCCCATAGTATACTTAACTAAATGAACAAAAGAAATAGTTCTGGGAAAATGACTCCTTTGGGCACAAAAAGGGATTGCTAGGAAAGTATTTATCTCAGGGATGGACATGTGTGTTGAAAGCAACACATAACAATCTATTGTCTCAGATCAATGACTCAAGTGGAGGAAAATGCCAAACTACCCAGTGATCCAATGTTTAGCAGGTCAACCCTAGATCTCCAGTCCCAATTGATAAAACAAAGTAACATTAAAAATGACTAAATGTACCATGTGTTCGAACTTCTGGTTAATCGGATCCAAACACTATCTACTTTTTTATTCAACACAAACACTTGTGATACTAAAGTACTCACTGTACATGGATGTTCCCACAACCATAGTTGTATACTATCTTTCCATTACTTTGCTTTACTAATAAAGTTGTTTGGTGTCTCCCTTGATCTCTACCTTGATTTTTTTTTCCTGAGGCCACATCAAGAATTCGGTATCCGAAGGCAAGGCAGAGGCCTCTCCTCTCTTTAGGACACCTCCTTCCAAGGAGCAACACCTGTCAGCAATCTGGTAATAAATTCACTGCTAAAATTTGAGAATACATTCACTTCTATAGAGACAAAAGATCTCACTGAAACTGAAACGAGAAATATTCATTTTCCCGTTTGGTTTTATTAGGTTTCTCAAGGTCGATCAAATCAAAGGGCAGCGCTCATTTAGATCCCACAATTTAAAAAAGAATGCAGGGTTGGGAGAGACAAGGGAGAATGATGGGGGGGGGAGGGGGTAGCATTGAACAAGATGCACTGAACTAATAAACTAACGTGTTAAATTGAAAGCCCTTTGTATAACTGCTTAAAGATAATAAAATTATAATAAGTTTTAAAATATACTCTATCTCTTGTCGTTAGGACTTTGCTCAGTTGCATACAGAGGAGGGCCTTGGCAAGAAGCAGTGACCTTCATTTTATGCTAACACAGGGACAAATGTAAAATTTCGGCGTTTAAAATAGAGAATTGGGAAGAGGTGTTGCGGCTAAAAGTAGTAGAGCGCTAGCTTTGAGTGAAAAAAGCCCAAGGACGGTACCCAGGCCATGAGTTCAAGCCCCACGACCGACTAATAATAATAATAATAATAAATATGTGTGTATGGAGAGAGAGGAAAAAATGGTAGCGTTGGTAAGGCCATTACCAGGAAGAAATCGGGCCAAAGAAAAAACATGAGCCCATCTTGCTAGCGCGCTCTCAGGTTATTTCACTTATCCTACAGGACGGAGGAACTTCCAGAAAGTGCCTCGTCTGAATTGTGGCCACAGACCCAGCAGGTCCCCCTTGGAGGAGGAGCGGGAGCGGATTCCAGCACGGATCCGGGCTGGGAGGGCGGACCCCCGGGTAGAGGAGGGCGCGAGCCGGGCCCGACGCCGGGCGGCTTCCCGACGCGTCTGGGCCTTACCTTCACTGAGATTCCGACCAGACAGATTCAACTGTCCGCTCTGCCTCGCCGCCTTCAATAGCCCCTGAGGCACCGAGGCACCACAGTCCTTCGCGGCTGCGAAACCCGCCCGCGGATCGCGCCCGGCCCCGCGGTGCAGGCGCGACATGTTCAAACCCACCGTGTCCAAGCAGCAGCCCCGCCCAAGACTTTTCAACGCCGCGCGGCGAGCTCGCCCCGCCCCTCCGGCGAGCGCGCGTTCCCGGCGCCGGGCCGCTGGCCACCGGCAGGGCCTTCGCTCTCCGCGTCGCGCGTCGATGACGTCACGGCCAGTTCCCGGGGGCTGGAGGACACGGCAGCCCGTCCCGTTGCCGGTGCCGGCCTAGCGTCCTGGAATTACTTTGCTCAAGTAAGTGCGTTTAACCGGCTTCAGCGAGGCCTTTCGGGTTGATAGCTGGATCTGTTACGGTGCCTCCGGTCTCCTCTGTGCTGGCGCAGTGGCGAGGGTTTGGGGACCGGAGAACCCGCTCTTCCCTCTCACCTAGTGGGAACGTGGGCCTTCACCAAAACTTGAGACCTGGGCGCGGCCTGCGTCGTCTCTGGACCCCATCCCGCTTTGCAGCTCCGGGTGGCGATCACAGACTTCCCAGCCTCCAGAGCAATACCGATTAAATGGCCTTTGGCCCTGCACGGTGTCTCCTAGAACTAGCACATCATTTCCCTTGTTGCATTGAGTTTGTAGCAGGCCGGTACTGGAGGCAAACAGTGTGAACTACAAGGATTGCTTGGGAGAAGGAACGAGAAAGCTTAAATTTTCAAAAACAATGTTCTGTTCACCAGACAGTTGAGCGACGTAAGTGGACGATGTAAGAGGAGAGGGCAAGTGTGTTGAGTTGTGTAGTGAAGCGCTACAGCCTGTACTTTGGAGCGCCAGAAATGCAAGTGATAACCCCATCAATTTACTCTAAACATGAGGCACTTTGTTTTGATTCAAGCGCATTTGAAACTCGTTCTTTCTCTCTTTAGCTTAGGGGTAATCATTCCGATTTTACAAGATTTGTCAAATAATTTACTCAAGTTGGGGGGGAGTTAAATCTTGTGCTCTTGGTGAGGGAAAGGACTCAAGTTCAGAAAAGATTAAAGATTTCGTGCAATGTGTCTATTTCCTGACTGTTACAGTTTCCATCTGAAATGTATAACTTACCGATTCATCCAAGGAGAATTATTAAGAACTCATCCTGAGTTGAGAAAGTAGCTCAGTAGTTAAGCCCTTGTTTCTCATGTGCCAGGCCTTGGATTCTATCCTCAACACGGGGGAGAAAGAGTGGCGTGGAGAAGAGAGGACACATTCATCCTTCTGTATTGCTGGAGATGATTTTTATCTTGAAAGCACAGATTGGGAGATAGATAGGGGCCTAACTCCCATCAAGATCACTGGGGATGAATAGTGTTTGTTGAAAGGTTGATGGTCTTTGACACACAATTTTGCCTGTAAAAATTGCTGCATGGTGATTTTTTTTTTTTGGTGGATCATGGACCTGAACTCCCACTTCCGGCTTTTTCTGCTTATGTGGTGCTGAGGAATCGAACCCAGTGCCTCATGCATGCAAGGCAAGCACTCTACCACTGAGCCATCTTCCCAGCCCCCACGAACTTAAATTTTAAATACTTCACCCCTTTTGTTATTAATTAGAAAACTAAAAAAAAAAAAAACTAAGCAGAAAGATACCAACAGTTACTTTACTAAGCAATAAAAGGCTGGATTTTAAAGCAAAAGAACAGTTTTTACAAGGTTACTAATTATCCTCCTGGTCATCTTGTCTATAATGTAAAGATAATTTGAGCCCTTACCAAATAAATGCCAGGCTCAGTGCTAAGAATACCTCTATATTAATAATATCTCTATATTTGCTATTTCTTTTTTAATCTGAAGGCCAGTTTGGATAAATTGAGGCCAAAAGAAGTTAAAAGTTTACTCAAGGTCACAAATTTCTGTAAGTGGGATGGGCAGGCATTTGAACCTACATATGACTACTTACCTAGTGGCTTTCTTATATTTTTCCAATCTTCTATTCTGAAATTGTTGTAATAGACTATTTATTTATTTATTCATTCATTTATTTATTTATTTTTGGTGCCAGCGCTGGAGCTTGAACTCAGGGCCTCTGATCTCTTCCACTGGTAGCTCTTGAGCCACAGCTTTACTTCCAGCTTTTTTGCCAGCTAGCGATGAGAGTCTTGTGGATTTTTCTGCCTGGGCTGGCTCTGAACCAAGATTCTCAGATGTCAGCTTCCTGAATAGTTAAGATCATAAGAATGAGGCACCAGTCCTGAGCACTTTTGTTTGTTAGAAGATTTGAAAACCTTTTTCTTTTACAAGAAGTAACAAGACTACTTTTAACAAATGACTGTAACCTTCTCTATACTCCCTTCTGTAGTTTGATTTTTAACATGTAATAGCAAAGTATAATTTTTCAGTCTTAATCCAGCTCAGATCCTTTTGCTTGATAAGCAGGTGTTGTACTATTTGATCTATACCTCCAGCCTTAGTATTTTCATTATTGACTGTTTAATAAAAACATCCAATTGAAGCATTGTTTCATTTTGTCTATACATACCCTGCTTAATGACAAAGTAATTCTGAAATTCCCAAGTAGCCATATACTTGTCGTGAATGTCAGTACATAAAAGTGACAATACATAAAAGTGACGTGCATAAGAATTTTTCTAGTTTATGTTTATAACACATTGTGTGTTTTATTTGGGGAGCAAATGTTGATTGAGCAAGTGGTAAAAGTTATTTCCTTATTAACTTGAGAAAATTATGTGTTTTATCTCCTAGAAAGTAAATGATAATCAACTTGAATTGAGCTTCCTGAAGAAATAATAATTAGTCATAAATAGTTATATGAGTTACAATTACCTCTTTAAATCAGATGTATTACTTCAAGGAAAAAACTTGATTCTTCTTCAACGCTTGCATTTTTTTTTTTTTTGGGGTCCGGTCGTGGGGCCTGAACTCTGGGCCTGGGCACTGTCCCTCAGGTCTTCAGCTCAAGGCTAGCGCTCTACCACTTGAGCCACAGCACCACTTCCGGCTTTTTTCTTTTTGCTTATGTGGTGCTGAGGAATCGAACCCAGGGCCTCATGCTTGCAAGGCAAGCGCTCTACCACTGAGCCACCTTCCCAGCCCAACACTTGCATTTTTTATTTTTATTATTATAAAGGTGACATACAGAGGGGCTACAGTTACATAGGTCAGGTAAAGAATATATATTTTTTGACAATGTCATCCCTTCCCTCACTCTATTCCAATTTTTCCCTCCTGTCCCCATCCACAAGTTGTATAGTTCATTTTCAAAATAGTGTCTAGTTAGTATTACTGCTGCATTTTTTCACCCTTTGTCCCTCTATTTCTGTGTCCCCCTTTACCTTTCCAAAGAGAGATTAAACAAGACAAAAAGAAGAGAAAACAGAAACAACAAAGAAAAAAACTTTCCATTTCCTGGAGTTCATTTCAATAAATGTTATTTTATATGATCAGAGACATATAGGCATTGTGGCTTTATATTCTTTTAAGAAACACTGGCATTTAAATCAAAGTGTTCACTTCTTTTAAAGAATGGACTTCAGCCTATATTCCTTATTATTCAGGAAGATTGAGATCCAAAGAGTATGGTTTTGAAGCCAGCCAAGGCAGAAAAGTCTGACTGACTCCATTTTGCAAATAATCAGCAAAAAGCTGGTCTAGAGGTATGACTCATGTGATAGAGAATCAATCAGGCAAACTCGGCAAGCTTGAGGCCCTGAGTTCAAACCAGTCCAAATAATGAACGTTAGCCTGGTAGGCGTGGTACAGTTATAATCTCAGCTACTCTGCAAGCACAAATGGGATGATCACAAATTGAGGCCATGCTATGTAAAAAAAGGTAACAAACAAATTGGATGTGGAAGTACACACCTAACCTCAGCTATGAAGGAAGTAATTGGTAGGAGTATTTCAGTCCAAGGCTGCACTGGGCAATAAGTATAGGATCTAACTAAAAAAATAATTTTTTTTTTGGTTGGTCGTAGGGCTTGAACTCTGGTCCTGGGCACTGTCCCTCAGCTCTTCAGCTCAAGACTAGCTAGCCTACCACTTGAGCCACAGCGCCACTTCTGGTTTTTTGGTGGTTTATTGGAGATAAGAGTCTTGCAGACTTTCCTGCCCGGTCTGGCTTTGAACCATGATCTTCATTTCTCAGCTTCCTGAGTATCTAGAATTACAAGCATGAACCACTGACGCCTGGCATAAAAAAATAACTAAAATGCATAAAGGGTTAAGGAACTGGCTCAAGTTCAGATATGTAGTACTACCCAAAACATGGATACAGACATGTAGACATAATCTACACTGTAAAAAAGATACCTGCTTCTCTACTGGACAGCTAGCTGCCTTTTGTGACAAAACTTTTTCTGTAATATATTCAGTATATTTAAGTGATGTATGGTTGTGTTATTCAATTTATTACTAAATAAAAAAGTGAAGAAATCAAAACTAAGCCTAAATTATCCATAAATTGCTATTCTGTTTTTTTTTGTTTTGTTTTTTTTGGGTCCGGTCGTGAGGCCTGAACTCTGGGCCTGGGCGCTGTCCCTCAGCTCTTCAGCTCAAGGATAGCGCACTACCACTTGAGCCACAGCGCCTCTTCCGGCTTTTTCTCTTATGTGGTGCTAGGGAATCAAACCCAGGGCCTCATGCATGCAAGGCAAGCGCTCTACCACTGAGCCACCTTCCCAGCCCTATTCTGTTTTATAAGGGAAAGTCAGACTTCTTACCAAATTTAGAGAGCATTTACCCCTGCCACTAACAACTGTTTTATATGTACTAGTGAGACAGGAGGTGTAGCCCAGGCCAGCTTCATACTTGTTGTGTAGCCCTGCCTGGCCTCCTACGATTATCCTTTGCCTCACTCAGTCTGTTGCTGAGATTACACCAATGAGCTACCTACATTCATTCAATCCATCATTTATTGTACTGGAGTTTGAACTTAAGGCCTAGTGCTTGTATACCCCACATCTTCTGCTTTTGTTATTTTTCTGATAGGGTCTTGCAGGTTTTGGCTGAGCCAGGGCTCAGACCACAATCTTCCCTATACCTCTCCCATAGCTAGGATTATAGCGCCACCATGAA